TCCTCTCCTCTCCTCTCCTCTCTTCTCTTCTCTTCTCTTCTCTTCTCTTCTCTCTGTTCCTGCCCTCCTTTCTAGATCTCTGTTCTTCTCTCTCTCTGTTCCTGCCCTCCTCTCTAGATAGATCTGTTCTCTCTTCTCTTCTCTTCTCTTCTCTTCTCTTCTCTTCTCTTCTCTTCTCCTCTCCTCTCCTCTCCTCTCCTCCCCTCTCCTCCCCTCCCCTCCCCTCCCCTCCCTTCCCCTCTCCTCTCTTCTCTTTTCTCTTCTCTCTCTCTGTTCCTGCCCTCCTCTCTAGATCTCTGTTCTCTCTCTCTCTCTCTTCCTGCCCTCCTCTCTAGATCTCTGTTCTTTTCTCTCTCTCTGTCTCACTCTCTGTCTCTTTCTCTCTCTCTGGGTTCCTGATTTTTGTTCCCCTCTCCCTCTCTTTTTCTCTCTCTGGGTCTATCTCCCCTTCTATCTCTTATCCTCTGTTTACTCCCTCTCTGTGAGTCTGTGTCTTTCTTTCTGGATCTCTGTCTATGTCTTGGGCTGTCTGATCACTGCCACCGCCTCTCTGAGTCTCTAACCTTCCCGGTGTCTCTATCCCCCTCGCTCTCTGGTCATAGTCTCTATCCTGCATCTCTCTTTGAATGTTTATCCTCTGGTTTTCTGCCCCCTTCTCTTACCACGCTGCCCAGGTTCTCACCACCCTGACTGACATCCAGGGCCGGCGGGTACTCTCTGATGGTGGACCTTACCCTGCTTACAGACTCTGCTGCCTCTCCCTTGCAGGAGGGCATCCTGGCCGTGTCTCCTGTGGACTTGAACTTACCCTTGGACTGAGATCTTCCTCAAAAGCTGCTACAAAGCTGGACCTCTTGTCCACGCTCCTGTCAGGTGCTTCTGCAGCCTTCCTGTGCAACTCAGGACTGGGGCAGGGGTGGAAGTGGGGGTGGTATCTGCGGCTGCCCTATTTTTACCAAAAAAAGAAACTATTTCAAAATTTTGCATATTAAAATATTTTGAAGTATTTACTTGTTTGCTTTTTTCCTTACAAACTTGATTTTATTCTCCTTGATGTACTGACTGCTAACCGAATATTGGTTCAAGTTCAAGTTCACCCAGAGACATCACAGAAGACCTGATGTTCTGCTCTTGAAAAACTAGCCATTGACTGGCATTTTCATCTATTCCTTTAGTGAAAGTCATATCTCAATCTCAGTCTTTACCCCATTGTTTTGTTTTGTTTTTCTTGTTCTGTGCCATCAAATTGGATCTAACTGGCACAGGAGGAGATTGCCCCTCCTTCTCCAGCGGAGAATCACGCCTTCGTGATTTCAGTGCAGCATCTTTTTTTTTTTTAATTTTTATTTGTGTCAGTGTACCATCAAATCAGATCTGACTGGTACAGGAGGAGATTGTCCCTCCTTCCCCGGCAGAGCATCTGGTGGATTCGAACCGTGCACCTTTGGGATTGCAGTGCAGCTTCTTGCCACTAGGCCACCAGAGCTCCCTCCCATTCTTTTAAGTCATGATATCTATTGAGCACATCTCTCCCACCTTCTGGAATATTCTGTGTTTCTCCCTTTATGCTTCTATATATTGGTTAGTTTAAATCCATGGGAAAACCAACTGTGGGTCTGAAATGGAATGACATCAATTTGGGGTGAACTGCTATCTTTACAAAACTCTTGTCTCCCTACCAGAACTAGACGCTACCCAGGTGCCACTGTGGCCCACTCTGAATGGGATTACAGAAGGGGGTCCAAGCGAGATCTGGTGGCCTAGTGGCAAGAAGCTGCACTGTAATCCCGGAGGTGGGCTGTTTGAATCCACCAGATGCTCTGCTGGAGAAGGAGGGACAAGCTCCTCCTGAACCAGTTGGATCTGATCTGACAGTACACACACAAAAATAATATTTATTTTTTTTAAAAAAGAAGAGGGTCCAGGATAGAGTGGGGGATAAATGTGGAACAAAACTGAAAATCATAAAAAAGAAAGGAACAGGATTACATATCTTACAGAGACCGGTGGAGCCCCCGGAGACTACGGTCTTCAGACACCCTCAGAGCCTAGAGCTGGACTCCCCTCACCAGGCACAGCTTTCAGCTAAACACTAGACAAATCTGTTAAGTCAACAGTAAGACCAGAGGGGTGTTCAGTCCTTAAAACAACCAACTGCACAAGATCAGCTGGGCAGCGGTATTAGAGCTCAGGAAGAAAGCCCAGGGATAGATCTCTAAGGCAGGAAGCTAGAGGAAGGAATGGAGATGTGGAGCCAGGAGCCACAGAAGGGAAGAAGGGGGCTGCTGTGGTGTGTGGCCAGCAATCATGTCATAAAATATGTAGAACGGTTGGATAGAAATCTGCACGCTTGCAAACTGAGATTTGTACAGCAATGTTCATAGCAGCATTATTCACCATCGCAAGAAAATGGAAACAGCCCAGATACCCAACCACAAATGAATGGATTGAGAAATTATGGTTTATTCACACAATGGAATACTATGCAGCACGCAGGAGCAATAACTTTGTAAATTATTACCTAACTTGGGAGGGACTGGAGAGCATTATGCTGAGTGAACTGATTCAGTCCCACAAGGATAATTATTGTACAAGACTGTTATTGTAGAACGAGTATAAGGATCCAGGAGGGGTGGGAGAGGCTGGAAGCAGAGGGACGGGGATTAATCATTGGATTGTACAATTTGATGGGTAGGGGGGAGTGAGGGAAATTGAAAGAATTTGTCCGAATTTGTATTAGAATTTTGTAAATAGTATAAAAAATCTGCACACTTTGTGAACTTTCACTCAGATCACAAGAAAATGTCTTTTTAAAAAAATGCCTTCTGATCCATAACCGCTGACTACCTCTCCAATCACAGCCACGTTGTCTTAAATTTGTAACGCTTCTCCGTATATACACACAGAGGCATTGAAAGCCCCGAACTGCAGTCTAGTTGATGGCAACCTTTTAATTTTTCAACTTTTAAGATAAAAATATTTGGTGCAACCACTATGGAAGGCAGTATGGTGCTTTCTCAAAAAGCTGGAAATTTGGGACGCTCTGGTGGCCTAGTGGCAAGAAGCTGCACTGTAATCCCAGAGGTACACAGTTCAAATCCACCAGATGCTTTGCCCGGGAAAGAGGGACAATCTCCTCCTGCACCAGTCAGATTTGATTTGATGGCACACACACACACACAAATAATAAAAATTAGAAATTTTTTTTAAAAGCTGGAAATTAAGGGGAGCTCTGGTGGCCTAGTGGCAAGAAGCTGCACTGCAATCCCAGAGAAACACGGTTCGAATCCACCAGATGCTCTGCCGGAGAAGGAGGCGCAATATCCTCCTGTACCAGTCAGATCTGATTTGACGGTACACGCACACAAAATAATAAAAAATAATAAAAAAAAAATTGGAAAAAAAAAGCTGGAAATTAAACCTGCCTTGACTTCTGCACTGACCCAGGGGCTACAGCGAACCCCAGAACAGCTCGGCTATTTGGTGCTCAGTGAAGGCGCAGTTTTGGCATCATCCGGGAATCTAGAGAATGACGAGCAGGCGGCCAGTGCCATCTCTGAGCTGGTCGCACGGCTTGTGGTTTTCACCTGCACCACAGCACGAACATACCCTTCAAACGTCTCTCTCTCTGTGGTCTTTGGAGAACACACGCTGGTGACTGTCAGGACAGAGGGTTTTGCTGGTGAAGAGGCAGAAACGAGGCCGGGAGCCCACTGACATCTGAGCCTGCACAGGAAGACAGCCGGAGGTGGATTGGGTCTTTAAGCCATCTGTGAATCCTTTTTGGCTTGCAGCAGAAACGAAGACCACTCCCACTTCCACACTCTACCAGGCAAAAGCCTGGAGACTTTCCATGATGTTAAAAAGAGTAAGGGCAAAGGGACTCCACACTTCCTTCAACCACTCCTTTCCTATCTCCAAACAAACATAAATCTCAAGTTCCCAGGGGGGGAATGAAGTTAGAAATAGAAATACCATCTGACCCAGCAATTCTACTACTGGGAATATACCCCAAAGAGACCATTACTGCCACCCAAGCAGACATATGCACACCCATGTTTATTGCTGCTTTGTTCACAATAGCAGAGAGTTGGAAACAACCCAAGTGCCCATCAACAAATGAATGG